TAACTTTACTAGTTTTTTTGACCAGTGCTGCATTGCATGATATTCAGCATGCCTTGCGGCCTACGGCAAAGCCGAAAGAAACGTAAAAAAAGTTAAGGAAGAGTCTGATCCGAGAAGTTCCTCATCCTGATACGGGGATTAGAGAGTTTGAGAAGAGGTGGTAACGTTTAAAAAAAAACACTAAACGGCTAAAAGCCTTGTCAAGTGCTTCTGCAGGAAGAATCTGATAATTTTCCAGGAAATGTGACGAACGTCAAGATCACTAAAAGTAGTTAACGCATACAAAAACAAGATGCATCGGATACAAACACACACACAACAAATACACACATACATAAATACATACATACATACACACATATAAAAACACATAGATAACCCCGTGACAATATACGTTTTATGCAGCTGTTGCACAGCACAAAACACAAAAAAAGTGTTAATGAGCAGCTAGGTTATCCGAATATAAAATTTTAAGAGCATGCGCTTTTCAGGAGGTTATTAAACCTATTCTAAAGTAGATCGGAGTTAAATCTTCAATACTTCAACAGCTACAAGGAGCAGCAATGGACATTGCGAGCTTATAAAAGAGAAGAATGGAGAAGTTGCTAGCTGTATCCAAAATTATGCAGCTCAAGATATCTCAGTGGGTTTAATGTAAAAATTCCAGAGCTTTCTCCGTATTTATCACTTAGATGTAGTATCAAAAGCCAACACACTATGGCTCCTTCCGATGGCTGCTTAAAAGCAAAGCTGTTTGCGGTAAACACATGAAAAATGGTATTCAATGGAGTACAGAATAAAACGGTACTTGAGCTCATCTTCGGCTGATTGGGCACCAAACTGGGCAACCTGTCGTCGATAATCCCAGCAATGGAAATTTCGTCCATCCATTTTGAGGTAAGTTTCGCATGCTGTCAATTCTTTTGCGATATCCGGTTTCGAAAGTCGTTGCAGTGACCAGAATCGATGGTACCAGGCACAATAGCATTTACATTTTGCCTCAAATTTTCCTTAAATTCTTATATTCCCTTCTATTTTCGGATTTTTAGCTTAATCCTCATTTTAAAAATATCAACTTTTATCCCGTATTTTTACTGTCAAATTTTTGCTTTGACAATTGAGTAATTTTTGACTCTTCATTTTTCTATTTTCAGCCTATTTTTACTTCATTTCCATCTTTAAAAGAACTGAAGGAAAGCCTTTCTAGCCAGTTGGATATCTTATCGTATTTTTATGCTGACAAAGAAGTAATTTTTGACTCTTTATTTTCCTATTTTAACTCCATTTCGACCTTTAAAAAAACTAAAAAAGAGTCTTCCCCTAGTCGGTAGGATACCCCACCGTAGCACAGAAGTGGCAACATTTGGAAGGAGATGGAAATGTTCAATAGAAAACAAGTAGATCTCGGAACGGCTAAACCCCTGTCAAACGCCCTGGTAAAGAGGAACGTAGCGCCAGTAATCTATTCAAGAAACAAAATAAAAGTTAGAATGGTCAGTAGGCTGACCACTGACCAGTAGTGCAGCACTGGTCAAAGCAACTGGAAGAGTTGAGAGCTACAGAAACACATTAAGAATTACCAGTAATCTCATGGCTATCCTGAATTAACAAATCTACTACAAGTGAATATAGTTCAAAATTTGCAACAAAAAATTGCATGAAAACGTAAATTACAGC